GGTCCCCCGCAGTGACTCGTCCCGCGGCGGGAGATGGTAGCACGAGCCCTGCTCTCCTCCTCACGTGGCTTTCAGACCTACAACTCCCACAACGCCACTCTGCCCCAACTACTAGGTTTTGTTTTCTTGGCTCTGCGAGCCTGGGTTGCATCAAGAGAGAAGGCGCTGCCTCCAGCCTAGAGCCCTGGGCCAGCGCTCGGAGCAAGATGGGTGGGAGGAAGCGGAGAAGGAAGTGGCCCCAGCTCGGTTTACACAAAGCTGTCAAGCTGCCACACTGATGCTGCCCAGGCATTTCTTTCACCCTAGACACAAACCACCCCACTGCAATCAGCTCTTCCAGCATGGGAACGCAACTCACAGCAGCCAGGGGACCCGAGCTTGAAGGATATGCAGAGCTGCTCAGCACTTCTTAAAAGACCAAAACGGTAAAATCTAGCACAGGAACATCCGCACAGGCCTGGCAACAAGTCTCCAGCACTGCAGAGCAGACAGAAGGCAAAGTCACCCATCTCCAGTGGGCAGGACCAGCCAGGTCATAGGAACGTGACAGCATACGGAGCGCTGGGTCATGGGGCCAGCTGGGGGCTGTGACACCAGCCAGCGTGCCACTTCGGCAGGCTTTCATGCCTGCAGTGTTTGTAGGTGGCACCTTCCGCTCATCCCTCCCTCTCGCAAACTAGCCAGCTGTGCAGGGCGCTCAGCGTCACGGAGCGGCTGCTACGCAGGAGACGGGGGGGCCCCGCAGGAACTAATTGCGCAAGGTGGAACAGGAGAGCTGTGCTTGTCCCGCTGCACCCAGATAAGGTTATCAGCAGAGCGCTCCCAGCCCGGACGCAGCCGGCGTTCCTTGCTGCAGCTCCTCCCCGTCCGAGACACGCTACAAGTGCGTAGCCTGCGGATCCAGCCCTGTCCCCTCTCCAAACAGCAGAGCCAGCTGGCCTCCACCACTGCAGGCAGGTTTATAACGGGGCTCGGAAAACCGTCTGTTAGGACACAGCCCACCCCAAGCAGGGGCCACATGGCAGCATGACGGGTTCCTGCAGCCCTGTGAGCTCAACGGTCCAGACCCATCGCCTGCCCAACGAGGCCCACGGCTCAGCACCCACATCCCCATTGCAACGCCGGCAGGTCTGGGTGGGTTGGGGAGGAATCAGACGGGTGAAGGATGCTCCAGCAACCGGTCCCGACCCACAGCGACATGATCCGA